CTTATACAAAAATCAATTCAAGATGGATCAAAGACTTAAATCTAAGACCTCAAACCATCAAAATTCTAGAAGATAACATTGGAAAAACCCTTTTAGACATTGGCTTAGGCGAAGACCTCATGAGCAAGAACCCAAAAGCAAATGTAACAAAGATAAATAGATGGGACTTAATTAAACTAAAAAGCTTCTGCACAGCAAAATCATCATCATCATCATCATCATCATCAACAGAGTAAACAGACAACTCACAGAGTGGGAGAAAATCTTTGCAAACTATGCATCCAGTGAAGGACTAATATCCAGAATCTACAGGAACTCAAACAAATTAGCAAGAAAAAAACAAACAGTCCCATCAAAAAGTGGACTAAGGACGTGAATAGACAATTCTCAAAATAAGATATACAAATGGCCAACAAACATATGAAAAAATGCTCAACATCACTGATTATCAGGGAAATGCAAATCAAAACCATAATGTGATACTACCTTACTCCTGCAAGAATAGCCATAATTAAAAAATTTAAAAAAAATACATGTTGGTGTGGATGTGGTGAAAAGGCAACACTTTTACACTGCTGGTGGGAATGTAAACTAGTACAACCACTATGGAAAACTGTGGAGATTCCTTAAAGAACTAAAAGTAGAACTACCATTTGATCCAGCCATCCCACTACTGGGTATCTACCCAGAGGAAAAGAAGTCATTATACGAAAAAGATACTTGCACACGCATGTTTATAGCAGCGCAATTCACAATTGCAAAATCTGCAAAAAATATGGAACCAATACAAATGCCCATCATCAAGTGGATAAAGAAAATGTGGTATGTGTATATATATATGTGTATATATACACACACACACACAGACACACAGACACACACTATAGAATACTACTCAGACATAACAAGGAATGAAATAATGGCATTTGTAGCAACCTGGATGGAATTGGAGACCATTATTCTAAGTGAAGTAACTCAGGAATGGAAAACCAAACATCGTATGTTCTCACTCATAAGTGGGAGTTAAGCTATGAGGACATAAGAAGGCATAAGAATGATACAATGAACTTTGGGGACTTGGGGGAAAGGCTGCGAGAGGGATGAGGAATAAAAGACTATACATTGGGTACAGTGTACACTGCTTGGGTGATAGGTGCACCAATATCTCAGAAATCATCACTAAAGAACTTTTGCATGTAACCAAACATCACCTGTTCCCCAAAGCTATTGAAATAAAAAATATTAAAATGGATAAATGTTATGTATAATTTGGTTTATCCAGCAAATGACTAACTTTAAGAGAAATTCACAAATTGATTTTAAGTGATTTAAATTTTTGTAACAAATTAGAATCCCTTATGCTTGATAAAACAATTAATAAAACTAAGTAGAATCAAGTAATCTTTTCTGCATTTTAGTGTTCCTGATTCTTTTGAGAAAATATAGAAGGCCTGAAGACAATTTCATTTTAGAGTTTAAGAATTCTTCAGAATTTGTTTGATCCAAATCCCTCCATGTACTGGGGTCACTTGTGACAAGAAAAAAGAAAACCTTGACCATGGTCACATGGTAAGTCGGTAGCAGAACTAGACAAAAACTCAGCTCTCCTGATTTCCAGTCTAATACTTTTTTCATTGTCCCATGCAACCTCTCACATTTTCAGAACAGAAACAGAAAAATTAGAAGAAGAAAAGTAACCCAAACTCATAGGACTGTATCTTTTTTGGATTCCTACAAATACTCTTGAGCTTTGTTTCAGGAGGCGGTTACTTGGAAACAGTTTGATCCTTTCAGGTCTTGCTGTTAAGACTTATTAGGTAAGATCAGAGTAATGTTTAGTCTAGGGCTCATTATTCCCCACTATTGAGACAAGGCCCTTCTGAATGCTACCCAGTATCCTGTGAATTATGAGGTTTTCCATAACCTCATAATAGCTGGTGGGAAAAGTCACTATTGCCAGCCCTATGTGAGCTCCAAGTACTGTCCCCTCTAACCTTCTAGAGCAGCTCTTTCTCCAGCCTCAGGTACTTTCCTGAAATGCAAGGAAACCTTCTGTATTCCAGGAAAGCACCTGAGGCTGGGGAAAGAGTACTCCAGAATACTCTCCCTGGGCAGTGCTCTCTTGACCAGTGCTAGCTGCCTTGGTTTCCCAGGCGTCTCACTTCTGTCCCCTTAACTTGGCAGTGACTGGCTCCTTCATGATTCCCACTTTCTGCACCATGACCTGGAATCTCTTTCAAGGCAGCAAGCTGCAACATTTCTCAGAGATCACTGTCCTTCATTGCCTGATATCCAACTTCTTGGAAATTGTTGTTTCATATATTTTCTTCACCTTTCTTTTGTTGTTTCAGGTGGGAGGGTTAATCTGGTCCCTGTGGTGTCATTTTTTTTTTTTCTACTCTGAAATCTTGGGTCTAAGAACTCTCTCCTACTTTATGAATTGGCTAGTAACAATTCCTTTTCTTTTAATAGCCTTTTCTTTTATCTGTTCTCATAATGAGAAGCACAATTAAATTCTTATAAAGCTTTGGTAAGAGATACTTGGCAAAAATCAGCAATTTAAGTATGATGACAACTGACAAAGACTCTCCTTAAGCAAAATTTAGTCAGGTTCCTTTGAGCCCATTTTCTATTAGGCCCGGTACTCGGGCCTTGTCATCAAGAGCAAGAATCCTGTTAAGTCAGTTTTGTAAGAATCCCCATCCTCATATCTGACCTCCCTCAATAGCCGATCAAATTCCTCATCCCCCATTGCCCCCCAGGTGTTGTCCGATCATCCTGGCCTGCCTTCGGCAAGAATCCTGTTAGATCTGTTTAACCAGAATTCCCTCTGACCTTGATGTTTCCTCCTAGGAATTTTCCATCCACTGACCCCACTCTGTTCCTTGGTATAAATCCCCCCTTATTCTTGTTGTTTTCAGAACTGAGCACAGTTCTATACTCAAGTCCCTTCCTTTATTGCAAGAGTTCCTAAGTAAAATCTAGTTTTTACTGCTTTCTTTACTGTCTAGCTCTGGTTTTAATACTACTATGTCCAATTTTACATAAAAATTCTTTATCACATATTCCACATTTTGAAACTTTAGCACTATCAACACCTAAGCTGAAAATGGTCTCTTATCCCTTAAAATTAAGGTTGTAAAAGTATTAAACAATAAAAAAAAAATCCACCTTGTTGCCATTGGCTACAGGTGGCATTGGCTACCTAATTCCATATACTCCAAATACAAACAACTGTAGTGATTATGTCCCATTTAAGATTCTCTGCATCCTCTTTCTGCATATTGGAAATTTATTTCTATAAAGGCAGTAAGCAGGGTCAATGAAAACTTTACTCATTACATTTTGGAGCCAAAGGGGACCTCAGAAAATCAATTTCTAATTGCTGTCTTTGTGGAGGTCAAAAACTGAAGTCTTGAAAGAACTTAAACTGATTTACTACTATATTACAGGAGACATGAGACTCAGTCATTATCCCTCTTGAATTTTTAGTGATTTAAAATGTAGTATTATAGGCTGGGCACGGTGGCTCACACCTGTAATTCCAAAACTTTGGGAGGCCGAGGTGGGTGGATCATGAGGTCAGAAGATCGAGACCATCCTGGCTAACACAGTGAAACCCCGTCTCCACTAGAAATACAAAAAATTTGCCGGGTGTGGTGGCAGGCGCCTGTAGTTCTAGCTACTTGGGAGGCTGAGACAGGAGAATGGCGTGAACCCGGGAGGTGGAGCTTGCAGCAAGCCAAGATCACACCATTGCACTCCAGCCTGGGCGACGGTGTGAGACTCCATCTCAAAAACAAAAAAAAACTAAATAAAAAATGTAGTACCATAATTGAACTCAACACTTGAAAAATGGCAGAACCATCCACATGTATAGTAAAACTACTGTTTCCTTTGACTTAAATCTGGAACTTTAGAATATCAAACTTTAAAAGTGCATTAACTTTTTAATCAGCTGCATCATACTGCATCTAGTAAAATTCCCTGCTTTTTCACATGAACTGCTAAGACGGATGCTTTCATATCTTGTCACTGCAATTTTTAGTTTTTTCGTAAGGTCTAAGAATTATTTTCCTCTGGAGAAGGGTTTTAAAATTCTGCTCTCCAGAGTGTCCTTCTGCCCCTTGGCCTGTGGATGGAAAGTGAAGGAAGGAGAATAATTATGATGTCAAGTGAACTGAGTCTGGATCCTCAATCCCCTGCTTCAACCAACACAACTCCCCACTTACCGTATCTGCTTTCTATAACGGGTTTCGGAGCAAGATTTAATTGAAAGATTTCCCTTTTAAAGTTAAAAAACTACTGTTGTAATACCCATCTCACTTACATTTTTATCTCTTCTGTTTTCATCATATTGCTGTCTTTCCCTCCTTTTGTTTCTCTGCCCCTTTTTCACTTTTCCTATTTGCAACTACATTTCCTTCTAGTTATTTTGCTTTTTAAAAAGGATAAAGTTCAGTGTTTTTTTCCTCTTTGCACAACCCATGGTTTTTAGAAAAAGAATACTGTATGATTATATGAAGGACTAAAAACGTTGCTAAGAGATTATTCATGGGCAATTCTGAAATTTATATTAAAATAACCAAGAGAATATCTTACTTCACTTTCCAAGTGCAGTATTAAAAAAAAGTTTCTCGCCAGGTGTGGTGCCTCACGCCTGTAATCCCAGCACTCTGGGAGGCCGAGGTGGGCAGATCATCTGAGGTCAGGAGTTTGAGACCGCCCTGGCCAACATGGCAAAACCCTTTCTCTACTAAAAATACAAGAATTAGCCAGGCATGGTGGTGGGCGCCTGTAATCCCAGCTACTCAGGAGGCTGAGGCAGGAGAATCACTTGAACCCGGGAGGCGGAGGTTGCAGTGGGCCGAGATTATGCCACTGCATTCCAGCCTGAGTGACAGAGCAGGACTCTGTCTTAAAAAAACAAAACAACAACAAAAAACAAACTTTCTATTTTAAGACCTACCCATGATAACAATATACACTTGCAACTTTACCTTAACTTCATAATATCTTGGTGTATGTTAAATCAATAATTAATCCAAGCTCATTTAGTTCTTTTATTACGATAATCAAGTCTTTCAGTATACACTTCGGGGTTGGAGTAAGTCTCTGATTTACCGTCTATGATGAAAAATGAAAAATAAGGTTACAAAATACAGATAAAATGTTAACATTAAACATAGAACAAAGAAGGAAGAGAAAAAACATAAGACAATAAGAAGAATTGGTGACAATTTCATAGCATAAGAACATTGTCAAAGCTTTTAACTAACTAGAGTTGTACAAAGAGCCTAAACATATTCACATCCTTTGCCTCAGTGATTTCATGTCTTGGAAATTATCCTAAGGCAAATATCAGAAATACTGGGGAAAAAGAGTTTGGGCGTAACATTCACTGCACCATTATGTATAATAGAAACACATTGGAATATCATGTTACTGTTAAAAGTCACATTTCTCAAAGATGGTTATTATTATTTTTGAAACAGAGTCTCGCTCTGTCGCCCAGGCTGGAGTGCAGTGGCATGATCTCGGCTCGCTGCAAGCTCCGCCTCCTGGGTTGATGCCATTCTCCTGCCTCAGCCTCCTGAGTAGCTGGTGCCCACCACCACGCCTAGCTAATTGATTATATTTTTTAATGAGGTCTCACTGTGTCATCTAGGATGGGATGCAATGGTGCAATCATAGCTCACTATATCCTTGAACTCTTGGGCTCAAGGGATCCTCCTTCCTCAGGCTCCCAAGTAGCTAGGATTACAGGTAGGCACTACCCTTCCCAGGTATTTTTTTTTTT